ATTCCATCCGTGAAAATGATTTCAGGGAGAGATTTCTGTGATCTGGCTCTGAACCAGAACACACTGAGGCCTCCTGGACAAGACCTGTTCTTAGAGTGAGAGAGAACTGAACACTCCAGAGTTGCAGAATCTCCCAGTCTGGCTGTATTTGCTGGTTGTGACCGCTGCACAATTGTGTAGTTCATTGTTCTGTCATCGTTCCCTGCATAGTAAAAAAATGTTTAGCAACATTAACCTTAACACTTAAGAGTGAAACCTTTGAATATTCCCAATCTATTACAAACAAAATACAAACAGAATATACTTTTCATGTAATGTACGGATTTTCTTTTCAATTTTATACAAGTATAAAATCGTTATATGTGTTTGCTACTGCAAATTAATCAATAGTTTATTTATATTCAAACAATTGATTTTCTAATAGGCAGTGAGATAGTTTATTTCATTTTGAGATATAAAAAACAGCATATAAAACAATATCTCAATCTCATTTTAAGATCACAAATGTCCTCAAAGGGCCGACTGTGGCAAAATGTTTTGATAAACTACCCATTGGCCAACAGTTGCAAAAATAATAAATTTCTGTCTCTGCATTTGATGAATACTTCATAAAACTAAATAATATTATGACACTGATGTTATTTGGCAGAATGCTGATAAAAATTGCTTTGATTTTCCCTCCAGAGTTTAGAAGACCACATGAAAAGTTACAGCGAACCAGATTTGTCCCCCCTTACTATTCATTATTGAGTATGACACATAAAACCTTCTTGGTTACCAAAACTTTTTTATAATCAGCTTTTTTGTTATTTCCACAGGTGTTTTGACAATTTATCTTTGGTGATGAACTCCTCGTCTATTAGTATATGCTTTTACCATCATTATATATTTATCTCCGTCTGCAGATTCTCTATCAAGTCAGGGTTCTCTACCTGAGCCACCATAAAATGTTACCATTACTTCCCATCAGAAGAAATATGTTGGAGTAAAATGAATACCTTTTATTGACAAATAGATCCCTCTCCAGGTATTCTCAGTCCAGTCAAGGATTGCACAGTGATAGATTCCCTCGTCTTCTTTAGTTGTATTCAGAATCGTCAGATTGGTGATTTTCTCATAATATGTTGTCTTCAGTCTTGAGGCCGGCACCCCCGGTCCATACATGGGGCCGGTATTTTTACGCAGCATTGTAATCACTTTCAGAGTATCACCTGCGCTCTGCTTGTACCAGTGGAGACTTTTAATACCCAACCATTCGTTTGGCAAACGACATGTCAAAGTTGCAGGTTCACCGAGTTGAACTGTGATCACTGGAACCAATGAGCCTGAATAAATAAATAAATAAAAAACAATTAAGTAAAAATTACAAAGGATATTAAGTCATACAGATTAATGTAGTTGTTAAAATATCTAACAGACTTGTAAGTAAATAATAAAATATATATTTACTTTAAGAACTTACATCCCTGATGAACAAGGAGCAGCGCAAGCCACAAGAAAATCATCTTCTCAGTGTCTTTATTTGGACAGTTGATGATATTTAAATGAAAAAAGGAGGCGTGGTATTCAAAATGTTCGAAGCATCTGATTGGTTATACCAAAATATACCCTGAAAGTGCATTTCCTCTACTACTAGCTCATCCTTCACTAACTGAAATGTCTGCTATGCACTGTTCTTACGATCTTGTAAAATATGGGGGATGAAGACATCATTCAGAGGCAAAAACAAACTGTTACAATTGTACAGTAAGCTCACATTTATGTTCATTTTTTAAAAACTAACATCTAATCATAATTTTAACATGATTGTTTCTCAACTTTTTTAAACCTACAATTGATTTAGTTTTGATTCTAATTCACAAACATAACATGATTCACAAAGAAACCATGTAAATGTGTTTATTTGGGGAGTTGTATGTGTTTGGAAATCCTCTTGAAACTTTTTCTGAGTTCTGATCTAGTCCTGACCCTTAAATTGAAATCTCTAATAACATCAGTATGTTCAAAGATTTTTGACCGAGTTCAATCTTTGAGACCCTGCTATCTTTACAAATGCAACATTTGCCAATGTTTCAGGTCTGTTATACGTTAACATAGACCTCAACAGATAACAGACAGCCTGTTATCTATGGAGTTGATCTTTCCTTTTAACAGACTGAAACACCTCTGGTGACACATCTTCTTCAAATCATGTCTTTAAATCTGGAGCACAGTCTTGGCTCTGAGTGTTGTGGTACTCTTATACAAGTTGAAAAAGGAAAGAGGTTTGAGATCAGCATAAAAACTGTTGTCAAATTTGTGGCATTCTGTCAGAGCAGTGTAAAAAGAACAAAAAAATGGTATCGTATTTTTCGGACTATTTGCCGCTACTTTTTTCCTACACTATGAACCATGCGGCTTACCGGTGTGGCTTTTCTGTGGATTTTTCTTCATCCACCAGGGGGCTCTTTAGTAATAAGTGAATCATTGGAAGTCAAAATTGTAAATCAATGGAAAAAGTACTGATTTCCATTCAGAACAAGCACATGCTAGCAGCAGGTATGACGGAGAAATTTCTTCAAACTCATATGTTTATGATGGCCATCGATCTGGCAGTACAGGAGGAAAACGGAGCCGCTGCATGTAAGCTCGGCATGAACGAAACCATGGTTCGGCTGTGGAAGCACTTTCTAT